GTACACCCAACGACCCCACGCGCCGCCGCAGCCTGCTGCCGCCCGCGCCCTGCTTCCCCACGCGATGTCGCAGCCTCCTTGCATCTAGCGGCCGCCGCGGCCTGCGGCCCCACGCACCGCCGAAGACTACTGCTCGCGCCGTGCACACCCGGCCGCGCCCTCATGCACCCACCAGCCCACCGCCACCACGCCCGCGCCGCGCGCTCGGGCCTCCTTGCGGATCCGGGGGAGGGGCGCCGCCGGTGAGGGAGGGGAGGGAGGGGGCGGCGGATCCAGAGGAGGGCGCCACCGGTGAGGGAGGGGAGGGTCGGGGTGGCAGATCAGGGGGAGGGACACCGTCGGTGAGGGAGGGGAGGGGCGGGGCGGCGGATCCAGGGGAGGGGTGCCGCCGGTGAGGGAGGGGAGCGGCGGGGCGGCAGATGCGGGGGAGGGGCGCCGCCGGTGAGGGACGGGCCGAGGAAGAGAGGGAGGGGTGGGGCCGACCGCCGGCGGGAGGAGGGGAGGGGGCCAGCCGCCAGCGGGAGGAGGGGAGGCGCCGGCCGCACGCCACCGGCCGGATCCGGGAGAGGAGGGCCGGATCTGGCTGGGTGAAGAAGGGGGAGGGGAGGGGCACCCGACGGGGAAGAAGAAGGGGGAGTGGAGGGGCGCCGGCGAGGGAGAAGAAGGGGGAGGGGAGGGCTACCGCCACCACCACGCCCCGCCGCCGCCCACCACCACCACCACCGCAGCCACCGGCCAGATCCGGGAAAGGGAGGGCCGGATCCGACCGGGTGAAGAAGGGGGAGGGGAGGGGCGGCCGCCCGCCGGGGATGAAGAAGGGGGAAGGGCGGGGTGCCGGCGGGGGGGAGGAGGGGTGCTGGGGCCGGGCGAAGAAGGGGGAGGGGATGGGCGGCCGCCCGCCGGGGAAGAAGAAGGCGGCGGGGCGGGCGTGCGTGCGTAGCTGCGGCGGCAGCGCAGCGTGTGCGTGCATGCGTGAGGAGAACTGAGCAGGCGAGTCCGCGAGTGCGTGCGTGCGAGGGTGTTTGGGGGCGGCGGCCGGCGGGTTAGGGTTAGGACTTCTTTGTTTTTTTATTTATCCTATACGTGTATATATTTTTTCTGTGCGTTTTTAAAGAACCGACAGAATAAATTGTATTTTTCTGTGAGTGCTGATTTTTCCGTGTGTGTATTGTCTCGCACAGAAAAATTATACAATTATTCTGTGGATTTTTATATTTTTCTGTTGGGATATTCTGGAACCGACAGAATAATCATAATTTTTCTGTGCGTACCGAAAAAACACACAGTAAAATCCGTCACCCACAGGGCAAGTAGTGGCAGTGGAGTTTGTGAATCCGGAAGGACACGGGTTTTGGGATGGTGGCGGTGGAGCCGGTGACTGCGCCCGCACTGACACCGCCGTCAACACGAGTGCCACGGCTAGGAACAGAAGCGCAGGGAATACAACGGACTTGTTGTTGGACGCCATCGCTAGTAGCTAAGCTGTGGATGATGGATATGTGTGTGTGTTTTCTTCTCCACTATGTGTGTTTGTGATTGAAGGTGTATCGGCCATAACTAGTATTTATAGGCCATCCATCGGCAGGCATGCGATCGCTCGGCGCAAGGCGTACGTAGCCCTAGCGCATGCAGGTCATCAGTCTACAGGATGCAAGTGTCTTTGGGGCTAGTGGTGCTCAGTCCGTGTTTGTCCGGCTGGCAGCGGCACACAACGAAGAAGAAACAACGTACCCTCCTGGACATTCAAGGTCGTCCCATGCTAACTTCCAATCTAGGGCTTCTCCGTCGGCTCACACAAACAAAAAGAGACACGATGCACGCCTGCCTACGGCTTATCCTAGGAGTAGAAGCACTTAGAGACTTGAAAATTGCAACAAGTACGTAAGAGTAATGCGCCTATGTATACTCCTACTAGCTATAGATTACAAGACCTACGACATCTATAAGATCCTAGAAACCAACAAACATGAAGAATACGCTATGGGATATACAGGGTGATGTAGGTAGCATATATAATGATATAAGCCTGTAAGGACTTTATTTTACACTGCAGTACATCACCGCTGGATCTAAACCTTGCATCACTACCGAAATTGTGTCTGACACAGGGTATTCGGCAGTAATGGAGGTGGCCCTATCACTGGCGATTTACGACCAACCTGCAGTGAAATCATCATGAGTAGCACCGCCACCAGTTTGACGCATAACCCTGTCGCGTTAAAGCCTGACCCGATCGTTGTGGTTTGAACTGGCAGTGATAGGTGTCTTCACTGCCGGCGAGTGAATAACTTCCTCAAAAAAATTTCTAGATCTTAAACTTACAAATCAACAGTGAAAAGCAATCACTATTGGCTCCATCATACCCAACAGTGAGTATCTGTTCTAGTGCAGTGTCATTTCGAATCATATGACATAAAATTTTTTCCTTAGAATCATCTGTTGTGAGCTGTAGAACAGAAACCTATACACTATGCATGCTTCAAATTAGTGATTCTATAACACAGGCTCTTGTAGGCATTGCAGCTTATGATCCAACTTGTATGCGGATGACAACAGCCCGCGGAAAAGCAAAAATTGGTACCTTTATATTGTTTTTTCTTGAATAAATCCACTCGTTAGTTGCGATGAGAGCCATCATCAGTGATTCAAGCTTTTTACTTTTACTTATCAGTTGTCACCCTATGCATGGTAACTAGCATGATCTAAGGGCCTATTTGGGACTTGGGAGAGCTCCGTTATTACTGAAAACTGAGATCCAAAGCACCAGCTCCACCATGGAGCAGCTCCACCATGGATCTCTGTTCTCACCTTGGAACTAGATAATTTGCTTGGTTTGTAGGACAACTCTAGATTCATAAAATTAAAATTTTCATGGAAACGGCCACATGTTCTTATTAGGGTTGCATGCTATATAATTTTTAACGTATAGCACATGTGTTTTGTTCATATTTGATTTAAAGTAATGTTATAATTTTTTTTGTGACAACACACAAATGCAATATATCAACATAAATCTTCATGAGCATCTAACATTGATGAATGAGATAGATAATTATCCCATGTCCATGACAACATCTCAACACAAATTTGATTGTCCATGCATAGAAATAACTGAGCTAGCTCAGCTTCCTATTTAAGCTAATTAATCACTTGAATAATTTAGCATAATGCAGATCAATTGGCAATCAGATCTAGAATTCTTCAGCAGCCCAAGATTTTGTGGATTACTTGACAACAATAAATTATTTATGGGGATGCTAATTAAACATCATTGAGAACGTTTGGGTAGTACCCCTGCTTAGCAAGTGCTTGCAAAAGAAGGCCATTCCCAGCTCCAACATCAAGAATAGGGTATTTGGAGAATAAACTTTGGTTGACTTCACTTTTGATGATGTCTTATGGAATCCTCCGTTCAATAATGTTACACAAACTTTACGTCCAAACTGCAACTGTGTCCAATACATCTGCACCAAACCTACAAACAGGAGGTTCTGTTAACATCCTAAAATAGAACATCCTCTTGCATTCTCAGTATTCTAGGGAAACAAGAAAAAAAGTAGTAGCAAGATCGAATGGAGAAAAGGTTAGGTTTTGGGAAGACAACTGGTTAGGAACCTCTAGTCTGGCCATTCAGTATTGGAAACTCTATAGGTTTGTTAATGGAAAAATAGATCAGTAGCTAGTTTGTGGGATGTTGTTTCCCTCAAGGAAGCCGCTGGTTAAGTGATGTGGCTTCAGAACTAGAAGCAGCTTTTGAACAAATCCGGAACCGCTAGGGAGAGAAACCCGGTACCAGCTTCTCTCCCCAGGTGGCTGCTTGTGTGGCACTATGACGTTATTGTATATAGCAACTAATTAACCTTATGTTTCGTCATAGTGCCACAAGCAGCCACCTAGAACCGTCCTATGTGGGTACTACGGGTGTGATTATCACGGAGATAATGAGAGATACACCATGAACTCTAGCGAAGTAAGTAATAGTGATATATGAAGTTTTTTTTTATCTGTGCTTGAATTCATTGATCACTTATAGATATATTATGATTATAATATTTCTTTGCAAGTTTATTATCGGGAACCAACCGACGGGTCTCAAAGGTAGAGACATCAGAAATAGATGTATTGACATATGTGCCGGTTCATCATATGTAGATTGTTCACTGCGATGGGAAATATTTTGTTGATACCTCTTATTTAGCAAAGCCAGAATACTGAGAACTTGTAGGTTTTGCTAAGCTAGAACTGAAGAAATATAATTGTTAGGACTTAATGCAACATTTGAGTTAAAAACTTTGATGTGTGTGTGTCTATATATTATAAATAGGATAAGGCTAATTTGTGGCTAGTTATAGAATAACTTATTCTATGGCAAGCTTAGTTTACCATAATATTTGTACTAATTTATGATACATGTGTTGCTATAACTCATGATGATATTGACCGTAATCTTATAATAGATCATTTAGGAGAAGTTACATTAATCTCGTAAATTAGTATAGTCGGTATCGTAACTCAAAGTGGTCATAGAATAAGTTAATCTATATATAGCCAGCTAGAAAACAATATATCGTGCTACTACGTGTCTTGCATAGTAGCGGGCGATATATACTTAATGTATAGAAACTGTGCAAGACATGTAGTAGCGTGGAATATACTTAATAATAGTAGGAGTAATATAAGGAGAACATTTAATTAATATGGTTCCAGTATATATATATTTGGTATTTTGAGCACACTTACAACAACACGAACACGACACACATTACATCATCTGTCTTATATAATATATAGCAGGTTGTGGGCCAACTCCTCTTACATGCCACTGTGTAGCGTAACATGTGAATTAGTCTCCGCATGCAGACAACGCATGCACACACAGAGACGGGAGTAAGTTATTCATATAGGTAGTACATATATAGTGTATATATATAGTAGGACTAAATAGCTAAGTGCATGTATGCGCACATTTGTGCCTTGTGTTCGTGCGAGCATGCTGCGCATCATATTGGGGCCTGCACGCATGCGAGGGGGCCATTGATGTTGGGCACGACAACGGGCGGTAAGGGGGGAAGAGCGTTGATGGTGATGTTGGTTGTGGGATAGCAAAAGCAGTTTACGAGGCTGGTGCCTGGGGTGACCGGGCCGGTAGGGATTAATACCAGAAGGATGCCGCGTAAAAGGTACTCGGCCGTGCCTTGAACGAACGCCAGGGAGTTAGTGTAGCCGGAAGGACATGGGTTTTGGGATGGTGGCGGCGGTGACGACTGCGCCCGCACTGAAGCCGCCGCCGTCAACACGAGTGCCACGGCGAGGAACAGAAGCGCAGGGAAAACAACGGACTTCTTGTCGGATGCCATCGCTAGTAGCTGTGGATGATGTGTGTTTGTGATTGGAGGCGTATCGGGCAAACCTAGTATTTATAGGCATCCATGGGCAGGCCGGTGATGGCTCGGCGCAAGGCGTACGTAGCTAGCCCTAGCGCATGCAGGTCATCAGTCTACAGGTTGCAAATGTCTTTGGGGCTAGTGGTACTGCTCAGTCTGTACTTGTCCGGCTGGCGGCGGAACACCAATGAAGAAACAAGAAAAGCTTACAACGATAGAACGTACCCTCCTGGACGGTTCGAGGTTGTCCCATCTTGGCTTGTTCCATACCTCCAATCTAGGGCTTCTCCGTCAGTTCATAAAAACCAAAAGAGACACGATGCACAAGCGTACGTGCGCGCATTGCAGCCATGCATGCCTCATGCCTGCCTGCCTGCCTGCCTAGCTACGGGCTACGGCTTATCCGAGGAGTATCCTTCTGGACTTAGAGACTTGAAACTTGCAAACAAGTACGTAAGACTAATGCGCCTGATCATAACTTGCTGGCATACACAAGCTAGTGCGTACGTACCTGTATACTCCTACTAGCTAGCTATAGATTACAGGACCTACGACATGTCTAAGATCGTACTTTAGAAACCAACGAACAAGAAGATCGTAATGTAGATAGCATAATAATATAAGCCTGTAAAAACTTTGTTTTACTTTGATTTGTATGTTTCAAGTTGACTGGCATTTGATGACAGAAGAAGAAATTTTACTTAGAATCATCTCTTGTGAGCTGTAGAACAGAAACCTATACAATATGCATGACTTAAATTAGTGATTCTATATAACAGATGCCTTGTAGGCATTTGAGCTTATGACCAAATCTTTATACGGATGAGAATAGCCTGCGGAAAGCAAAATTGGGACCTCTTTACATTGTTTTTTGCTTGACGAATAAATACAGGTTAGTAGCGGTGAGAGCTACTAGCACACAAACTATTTTCAGAGGCGGTCAAAAAATATTTTCAGAGATGGTCATGCAGCCTGCCTCTATCAAAACATCATTGTTAATCACAGTTAACAGAGGCAGTGCTTAATGCCTGTCTACAGAAATCGATTAAAAATAATAAAAAAAAGGTCGTCAAGCCCGGTGCTGAGCCGGTAGCAGCCCATGTTGAGTTACTGCCTGAAATCTGCCACCGCCCGTCATTCCTAACATCCGCCTCTGCTTGAGGAATGATGGAGGTCGCCGCCGATGGAGGAGGTCGGCCTTGCGACTGTGGAGAGAGAAAAAGATGTACAAGTACAACGACTAGATCTCATGTATCCTTGACCTCTCGGATCCGGACATGGCAAGCATGGAGGTGTAGTAGGCCATGTTTTTGGGTCTTTTTGTAGTAGTGAACACGAAGACAGATCGATCACCTTCAAATACCAGTGAAAATGACACTATCAAGTCATGTATATATTAAAAGACTGGTGTTATATATTATTAATATGAGAGTAATTACTGTTTTCTAGGTCCAAATTGGATTGTTGGTCGGTAAAGGTATCTATGGGCGTGTTTGGGACCCCTTATATAAGGTTCATTTATAATATAATCAAGATTTTCTTATAAGCTGCGGTTGAAAAAAATCTCCGGTAGAAAAAATCAGAGATGTTTAGCAATCCTGATTGTGTAGCAATCAAGGGTGTAAAAGGACATATTTGCCCCTGACATTCTCGGCCATCTTCCGCAGGAGCACCCGCTGTTCCCCGAGCGAATGAGCCTTGCAGTGTCGGAGGGAAGGCATGTAGGAGTGCCTGCCTGTGAGCGGGTTCCAGCCATGGGCGCCTCCCTCGGCCATCCGAGGCGCCACCGGAGGAGAAGATGCGGAAGTGGCTGCCTGCAAGTGGGTTTCCTCGGTCATGGGCGCCTCCCTCGGCCATCCAAGGTGTCGCTGGAGGAGCAGACGAGACGGGAGTGGGGGTCGCCGAGGCGCTCTGACTGAGCCCGCGACGACTAGCCTCACACACGAGTGGGCGGGGGAGGCGAGCGGAGAGTTGTGCAGGACGCGAGAGGAAAAATGCCTGCGCTGGACGAAACATGAGCGGGAGGCTGCGGTGCCGAGAACACAGTATGCAATGCAAGTTGGATTCTTTTGACCTCTCGATTCCTAGACAATCTAAAAAGAATCAAGGGTGTTTGGGGTGGATTCTCAATTATTTTCACCTAGAATCTGATTATAAGCGGTACCAAATATCTTCAAAATAAACAGACAATCTGAATGACAACTAGTGGACTAATTCTTTAAGTGGAGATGATTGAGCTAGGTCCACATGAAAGAGTTGAGCAAGGCTAGGAGATGGTGGAGACGATGATCATGGCCATGGTGCAAGTGCTCAACATTGGAGAAGAGAGACAGAGATTGAAACAACACATTGGAGAAGAGAGACAGAGATTGAAACAAGCCCTAAGGCAAATGTATATGCAATAGGGGTTTTGTATCTCCTGTCCAGAGGTGCAATAGAGTGCATATCTGGATTTAGGATATACAGCCATACTATTAAGAGGAATTTTAAAGCGATTACCGATATCTAATGCCACTAGGTGATGAATAACAATGCATAAGCATTAGATCTAGGGATGTGGCCAAGAAGCAAGTGAAAAAAAAGCTTTAATTTTTTTTGAAAATGCTAACTCAGTGCTTAAAGGTGTTGGTGTTCAAATATAACACATTTGGAGTTAGTACATTTAAAAATGTTCGAGAGAAGGGATTAGAGTATAGGTTTCTGCACTCATCACCAGATATAAGCATAGGCTCCACACTTGGTTAGACAACTTGGTCACCAGATTTGTCTAGTAGTCCCAGGGTTAGAGCACCAGCTTTTTGGTGGGTCTAGAAACCTTGCTAGACAGAGCTCCCGGACCCACCGGATTTCAAATAATTATTTGTCAAAAATAACTTTTTCTGTTTGAAATATGATTATTTCTCCAAGACAAAGGAAGTATATGTTATTTTTAGGGCTAGCTGTTGGACGTGTTTCTGGTCTATTCTTCAAAAGGAGAATGATAAGACCAAAAGGAAGTGGGCTATCAAATGATTGAGACTACGGCAATGGAGATCTTTGCTAAGCTTGGGCGGTTGTCTCACTACTATAGATTCATGCATCACTACCAGGTCTAAATCTAGCATCATTGTCAGAATTGGATCCGGGAGAGGGCAAAAAAATATGTGTTTCTATGATTCAAACTTAGGATCTCGACATTTTCTGAAATGTCCATATGCTACACCACACTTGTAACTATATAACTAATGATAGTTCCTCTAGTTGATAGCTAGTTGAGTTGCTAGTTGGGTGGCTTTCGACCAAGTTGGCTCAAGGTTGAGCAAGTTGTAGGGTAAAGTCGTTAATTGTTTGGATGGTGTTTTGAAAAGTTGGTCGGGATGAGTGGTAGACTCTCCCAGTTCGTGTTTTTTTGGCCCGATTTCCACTCAAAAAACTAGATCGACCCTTGTATTTTTATTTTCTGTCTAATAGAAATTGCGGCAAAGCTTTTGCCGTCCCTTCTAAAAAAAATTCTATCACTTATGATACTTATATTGTATATTTGACACTTTAAATAAATCTCAAATATAAAGTTTGTTAACAGCAAAGTTGTAGATCTTGTCGAGTACTACAACTATGATGTTTACTTTGTCTCAATTCGACATTGTCAACCATTTCATATTTGTACATATACACCATTTCAAGTTAAAAAGTTATCAACTACAAAGTTAAAAAGATCCATGGACCCCAGCTCCACATTCACAGATCTAGCATGTCACACGGATCAAGAAAATGCAGCCAGTGGCAGCACAAAAATGAACATCTAAATTGGAGAAAGCATCAGAAAGTAATATTAAGCTAGGCTCCAATTCAACCTGATCTGATGACAACTGGATAACATTGAATTGCAAAATGGTACTACTAAATCAACTATCTCAGCTATCCTGAAATTACTTCCTGGATGACACATGCACCAGTATCTCGAAACAAACAAACTAGTTCAGTGTTGCATGTTCAAATCATGCAGATAGTTGGTTGTACAACACAGTTGATTTTTTTAGAACAAAGGCATTCACCCAGCTTTATTGAAAGTGTAACGAACACCAACGATCCAGGAACTGGGGTTACCAGTTTTACAGTTTAGGACCAAAAGAAACTACGGGAGTTTTAACAACCATCCACTCTCCCCTTACCACTAGCTTAACCAAACAGATAATAGCTAAAAACTAGTAAACAACTCTACTAAGCCATCACATTTATCATCTCGTCAGCCATGGGACTCAGCTTGGCTTTCACCAGAAGGCGCCAGGTCTTGATTAACATCAGAGTCTTGCGTATGATCGCCGTCGGGGATGACATCACCTTGTTGAACACCACGTCATTTCGGGTCTTCCAAATGGTCCATAATGCACCTTTTAAGGATTCAGCCTTTTTAGCCATTGTCTTCGAGAGAACAGTTGTGCCATCATCTTGTATCCTAGAGCTTTGTCTGTTGACTCGCAGCTTGTTGATCTGCCTGGCTTCATTTGTGATTGTCATCTTTGCTGCCTCAATGCTTGGCTTAAGCACAGCCTCTTCTTCACCAATGATAGCTTTCTGTGTCTGGATATTAGCATTTGACAGTTCCTGACAGGTACCTTCACCCTTCTTCCCAGCTTCCTTGGTCTTCAGGATATCAGTACTGTCAGCATTTTGGCGTCTGGAACCCTGAGTATCGAGTGTGCTCATACTGGTGAGGATCACTTCTTTCTAAGTTAACAACTCTACAGCATTGGGTGAATTATGTGAGACCTCTACTTCAGTGGATGTTCGAATTATCAAAGAGTTTAAAGACAACAACTAGTAGCCGACAACGTGTCGACAAGCCCGGCTCCTTGAAGACCATAAGAAGGCCAACAAAAGAAGACTACGAAGATGTCCCCGAACATTATCTGCTTGGCTAGGCCTCTATCCCGTGGCATGAACTCCACAAGGTTCTGCCTTTAATGAAGAGGTTACACGACCAGTACATGAGA